TTCCTGTTCAGACTTTCATCATGCTTTCCAAATTTTTGATTTCAGCCCAGATCATAGTAATAATACATTCTAAAATTAAATTCATTACTTGAAATTATTAATATTTACCTATATATATTATTCTCTGAATCATTGTTAGCTCACACCATCTTTATATCTGAGTATCATTTTTCATTCTAAAGTTGGATGGATAGTGTATGATCCACCACTGGACCTTGTGAATGAGGTCTTGCACAAAATTTAAAGGGCAAATAAATTATAATAAGAAGATTCCAATATTTGTGAAGGCTCCAAATGAACAAAAGTTGAACTGGTTCAAACCAATATATGAATAAATTAACCCAATGAATCATGATTTGCTTTGATTCAGATCAATATATACATTACCTAATAAATCAATTCAATGAAGAATTCATTGAAGTGCAATTTCCACATATGTTCCATCCTTATAAAAAATTATGTATGGAACAGATGGTGAATAAGTACTGAATACATGTAGACACAGTGGAGAGTAGATGTTTTCTGTATTAAAATGCTTTTTCGTATAGAATGGGCCTGGACAATAGAAAGGACAATAACATGAAAAAAAGGCAACTTTGACCACTTTTATATGTAACCCTTATGTAGAAAGTTTTTAGCTACCCAATTTGCATAGCAACATTTTGAGATATTGTTCTTTAAAGTTCAAAAACAATAGTAAACTCCTTGAAATGTATTCACATTATGGTCCTTTTTTATTTTCCAGATCAAAAATATCTCACTAGTTCCATATTTTTAGGTAAGAAAAGTGCATTTCTCCATATGTATTTTATATCAAATGTGTTTTTCTACATTCCATATCAAAATATGTTTTTTCCATATGTATTCATTTCACATCTATTCAGTACTAGTTAGCACCTATTCTGTGCATAATTTTTATATATAGGTGAATGGATTTTGCCTTATTCTAGTATAAGCATATAAATTCTTAAAATATAATAATAATATCAATTTAAAAATCTGGTTTGATTCAAATCAAATCAAATCCAGTTTTTTTAAATTTGAAGTTCAACTTGTGCCGAAAATAAAAAATAAAGGAATGTTTTGAAATTTTTTTTAATGTTGCATTACACACAACATAACAATTTTATTGTCTATTTTTTCCTAATATGGAAATGATCCTTGCAAAAATTTATCACATGACAAATAAATTTTAAAAGAAAAACATTATTAATTTTCGTTCCTTATATATTACCACTAAAAAATATATGATTCCGAAAAAACATACATATTACACTCTCCCTATCTATAACAGGCCTTCCATGGTAAAACTCAACCACAACAAACTTCTCTTTGCTATGATTAATTTCTCTATATAATGAACATTATTATAGTGAATGAAGGCACAAAAAATATTTATAGTTCATTATAGAGAGTGAACTTTATTTTTATATTTTATATTGAAAAAATTAATTAATATCAAGAAAAAGGAATTTAGTATGAAA